ACTGAGAAATTTTGCGAAAAGTACAAGTTCTTACATGAAAATTTGTGCCTGTGGCATTTACTTGTCTTTCAGTATATGCGTTAGTCGTTCGACCTGCAGGTGAACTATTCCATTATGTGTACTGTATAGGTACATATTTTTTTAGTTAAGCTGTTTCTGGTCTACGAAGTACAGTGTTAGGTGTTTTTATTGTTTAAACACGCAATGTGCAGATGTCGTCAACCATGACCACTGTTTTTCGTTTGTATTTTTAAATAGATACAAAAATCCGATGAAGAATTAGATAAGAAACCCAAGTCAGAGAATCCTGCTAGGATCGTATCAGTTCCTATTGGATCCTATGAAATGTAGGATATCATAGGATTCCTGTTATAGGACCCTATAAAATCCTATTACATCCAAGAATAGGTCTACATAAGATTCTGATTGTAGGACTGTGGGGCATTTCCTATATGATCCTACATAATATGATCACAATAATCCTATAAAATCCTATAATAGGATAGCACAGGATATTGTAAGAATCTTATCAACCCAGTGTAGACTACCCAGGCCAAACAGAACGGTCCGTTAACGGCGTCTAAAAGGCACATTAACGGTCATCATAAAAACGGCCCGTTAACGGCATAGAAACGGTGTAAAAACACGCCGTTTACGGTCACCGTTAATGTACCGTTTTTACACCGTTAATTTACGGCGTGAAAACAGCCCCGAAAGTTACGTTATGAAAATGGTCGAAAAACGGCACTTAAACGGCCACCGTAATTATCACATAATGTGATAATATTAGTATATCCATATCGTATTATATATCCTTTCATGTTTCTATACGCGTTCTCTTTTTTGAACGTGATGTATAGAAAAAGCTAAGTAGATGTGTGTGTATTCTATATAACAACGTTTTTAAAAAAAGAAAGAATGATCGTTGTGTTAATATATAGACTTTAATATATAGACTAGAGCCTTTCTCTTTATAAACACATACGATTTCACCTTTTCTTAACAGAGTGTGAAACTATTTTTCATCGTTTTTCTTTGTAATTATATGTTTTTGCTTTTTTTTCAAAGGAATTATTCCAAAAAAATGTTACAAAGTAAAGCACACAGCTTTTCTGAGAGAAAGTGAGCGAATTAAGATAAATAAAATCTTCCAGTTTTTCCTTAGTGACAGAGTTGAACTGTATCCTTCTTGGGTCATATTACGGCACCTCTTTATCTTTCTCAGATAATGCATAAAATCTAAGATGTGATTGTAAGAGATTGTACGATCTCAAAATAAAAATGCACATAAGTGAGAAAATGCCTTAACGACTGATGTCTTCACAAATGTGAGTATCCTTGGTGTACGATCGCTTTGCCCTTAGTGACTTTCAGGATGTAGCAAAGATCGGTTCGATTCTGTTTGCTGCGAAAAAAAAAAGTTTCTCATACGCTTTTCGGAATCATAGATTTCTATGATTATTTTTTCATGATTATGATGTACATTGCATGCAGATTCTATAGTATAAAGAGCGACCCTTAGTTCGCCACCCTCGCTCTTCTACGTATGTTTCAATCGTGGGTGCTCGTTCTCAATGACTTTTCAGAAGCACACAATAGTTAATCTTCATACTTTGGCTAGATAATCTACAGACGCTGTAGAGCCTTTGATGCGAATTTGAAGTCAAAATGATGCTCCTAGACTGACTGAGTTGTGAATTTTTTTCGAAAAGGAGCTCGAAGTTTCAACAAAAAACCGCGAATCTCACCCGTAAAATAGATGTATTTCACAGACTACTAACTGCCAACTCACAAAATTCATATCGTAGATAGAGCAGAGTCGTGGCTACATTTTGGTAAAAAGAAAAAGTTTTCATCTTTCTTAGATGAGAAGCTGTTGATATTTTACGGAAAAGAAATAAATCACTTATACCTCACGAACCATCGAGTAAAAAAGACCCACAGTTGGTGGATGATCAGTATTTGGTAAGAACTATGACCACACAAAATTAGAAGTCACTAGCTGTTATGATTCTTGAGTTACAGCAATATTGCGACATTTGCCTATATATGGTTTCCCGTCGCCAAAGGGTTAAATATCTGAATGAAATGTAAAATTTATGTATGAAATAAAATAGTTTACATTTGGGGAATAGAAAAAGAAAAAAAAGGTAAAAAAGGTGCCCGTCAGAAATTCCTGCAGATATATGTCCACTGTTTAACGGAAGAAACAACGTATTTATCCATGGGATAGAGAATTATTGAACTTTATACACCTTTTTCATATGTTTTTTTTTCTTCTTTTGTTTATTAGATAAAGGAAAAAAAAACTTGCTTAGTTATTTATTACTAAAACACATTTAGCCACTTTTTTTTCAATTTTATTTTTCTTATCTGAAGTATGACAAAGTTTTTTTTTGCTTCTTTTTTTTTTTAATATATATTATATATATATATATATATAGGTTACACTCACACACAAATGCACAGGTAAATACGTAAGGACACCAAAAACGAACAAAAGAAGAATAAAAAAAATGAGAACTAATATTAAGAGATGGATGTGCACGTTATTTTTTCTTTTTCCTTCACCTTTTATTTCTCTGAAATAATCATCATCAAATATAGTTGAACATTAAATAATGACAAAAGCAAGGTATTGTCAACTGGTTTTTGTTGATTACTAAGTGTTTGATTATGAAAAAAATAAGAAAGAGTTTATGAATTGAACAATAAATTTGTTGCATTACTCGATATTACATGTATCATTTACTTTCGTACATACATAAAAGCATGATAAAAAAAAGGCAAAAAACAAAAAAAAAACGGATCTGATTAGCCTAAAAACTAAATCTGAATTTTTTTGATATTGTCAGTTTAAAAAAACTAGAGTAGATATATTATGTTTTGACAATTTCGGCAATTGTTTGAAATATATTTTTTATTGTCAATGAAAGCAAAATGAGTATCAAAGTTCAAATAAAACAGCATTAAACTAATAACAGAAATACTTTAGAAGCGTTTATTGAACTTACTATTTTTCTACCTCTGAAACAAAATAAAAAAACAGTAAAAAATCAGTGACTTGTGTCGACACACACCTAAGCAATCGATCTGATTCAAATGTTGTTGTAGATTATGCTGCTAACATTTATCGAATGTAATACACATATATTGTTGTTTATACAGAGAGATGAACATTCATGATGTGCATTAAGTCGTTTTAGCTAGCTGAACTATGATAATAAAATTCTTTCATCTGTCTTTGATATGTCATGTGCATATGTCAGTTAATTATGTTCTATTGCAGTTGTCGTTCTGTTGACTAATTATTGATGGTAGAAAGAGGAAAGAAACGAGAATATTTTACTTAAAATCTTATGAGGACATTCACTCGTTTATTAACATTTCGTTCACGTCGTCGATCATTATTGATCTATGTTTTGTTATCAATATTATGTACAGCATTCATATTCTTAACATTAAACCATAATAAACAAATTGACAAATTGACAATCGACAAATTGTTTACTACAAGTACTTTACTGTCTAAAATATATCCTGTTACTCATGAGATACTACCATTAAATAAATCATCTACTACGATTAATGTGAAAAATAGTGATACTCTGTGGCCATTGGATTCGTTAGGCCGTTCGCTAAAAACTCATTTTATTGCTATTGATTGGACCGGATTTTTTGGTTCTCAGGCGGCTGAAGGTGAAAGAGTTTTTTGTGAATCGTCTAATACAACGTTTTTATGGACACGAAATCAACAACAAATATCGACGTGTGATTTTATCATTGCTCATGATGCTCAAAGTACACCAGTATCTCAACTGGAAATATCTGAGAAGAAGCAACAATATTCGATGGTCTTTGTTATGGAATCAGAAGTACATTCATCGACAGGCAATGGATGGGCATCATTTAAGTTCAAAATGACTTATAATCTCGATGATAGTTATCCAGAAGCAGCAACTTATTTTGATATGAATGTTCATTTAGTCGATCTCTTACATCCAATAATAGTTGATTTTGATCAAAAAGAAAAATCGGCGGATGTTGTATGGATCATATCTAATTGTGCTGTAAGTATTTACTTTTATTTAAGAATGACCTTGTGATCAACAAAAGTTGTTTATTTCAGGCTCATAATGGTCGTGAAGGTTTTGTTCAACGTTTAATGACAGAGATGAAAGTTGATTCGTATGGTGCTTGTATGAAAAACCGTGAAGGTTATAGTGGTCGAATGGCTGAGAATGTTGAAGCGTATAGAAGGTACAAATTTGTTATTGCAATTGAAAATAGTAATTGTAACGATTATATCACCGAAAAACTTGTAAAATCCGTTGCCTCTGGTTCAATACCAATCGTAGCAGGTCGAGATGGTAAACCTGATTATCGACGGTATATGCCAAAGCATTCTTTTATAAACGTATTCGACTATTCATCCATTAAAGCGTTAGCTGATGATTTGAAACGTATAGGCAGTGATAGACAATTGTACGAATCATACTTGTGGTACAGAAAACACAATAAGACAGTTGATGATATAAGGAAATTACCATTAAATGAAAAAATTAAACATTTTGAAGAAGTGGTGGGTAAAAATCAGACAATGTTAGCACAGAATGGAATTGTTGCCAAAGAGAAAAGTGAAAACAAAGTTTGCAAACTCATACGATTCGTGAGAGAAACACCATGGAAAGAGATTGCTGAACATAATAGTACAGGACGAGCAGGTGCTAATACAGCGTGTCTCCCATCAAGAAGTATTTTATCGCATTTTGATATAAAATAGAAGAAGAAAAAGATAACATATGCATATGAATAACTTCTGTTTAAATCGATTAGCACTCAATCGGTTTTGTCTCCAACGAATCAGATTTTATAGCTAAATGTTTGACGATAAAACACATATTGTTATCCTACAGGTCATAAGCCTTATTTTTTGATAAAAAAGTTATTGTACTCGTCTTGTTGGTGGTTATTGTTATATATTTTTTTTGTTAACTTTTAAAATTAGCCTATTTTTAGCTATTCTCTCAATTTCACCTGATAATTATCAATCCGGTGCATTTGAAGATTTTTTCTTCTCATCGTTGTTATTTATTTTTGATGCCTATGCAGTTATGACACTTCATCAACAAAATGTTTTTTTACCAATGTTATGAATGTATGTGAGTATTGTACTATATATTGCGAAAATTTTAAGCAATTATATCATTTGCAGAAGGTATCACTGTCAATTTCACCATTAAATCGAATAGGTTGTTTTTTTGAATAAGGGTGCTTTCACACAGGTCCGTCCACTTTATACAGAGCATCTTGCTGCGAAAATTTCACTTTGCCCATCGTGTAGAGCATCAAAAATAATCTAAAGGCCTTGCTTACGCTTTTTTGAAAAAACGTGTG